GGTGAAACTTCGTCTTGTCTTAATGAAGCGATTTCATGGTGGTCGCTGACGAGTATTCCCTTTTTCTTAATAATGTTCCCTTTTTTGTAAAATCGCAAACCGTGAAAACTTATGATAGCGTACCAAAAGAATATTGTAATGTTGATGTAATTTGTAATTTTTTTACAATAATTGTATGGATTAAAACCGTGTCAAAAATAAAGAAAAGATTATGAAGAAAATTGTTGTCTAGATTTATTTGGCAAATTATATACACTTAATTAAAAGTTAAATGATATGCACCAATTAAAGTATGACCAGAAGTGGAAGTATCTTAATTCACGTTTCACGATTGTGAACCCATTAATTATGTCAACAACATCTGAACAGCAGTGATAAGTAAAACAGGGATGTTCCATCCGCGAGTCAGTCAACCCTCGTTAAATTGAGCGAACGCTGCTAGCATCTGCAGATGCGCTCCGTTCGTCCAGTCGCGGGAAGAAGAAAGGACGAAGAAAAAATAAAACGTAGAAAAAAAAAACTAAAGAAATCAGGAAAGAAAACAGAAGGCGTTCCGGCAACTAAGATGAACCCCGTGGGAGGGAAACAGTCCGCAGAAAGTTCCCCATTACGCGGCGCAAGACGGTTCTTGCCCTTTTTGCGTTATTAAAAATAATGGTGACATATATTAGTTTTAACGAAGGCACCGTGTGCTTTTTGCTACCGACTTTATGCGCCCAGTCATTTGTTTCCAGCGGTAAGCTTTCCGACTCCGAACACAATGAGCGCCGTTGGCCTTTTGCTTCGATGCGCGGCGTAAAAATAAAGGACGGAAGAAAGGCTGGCACGATTTCGGGGCAAGAAACGTGGCGAAGGAAATCTCGCAGGAGTACTTATGTATTATATGTATGTATGTAGCTAACTAAGTCGAGCGGGCGATCGTCCACGGTGAAATCACGAGCCACGATCCATTATAATTTCAGATTATCCGCTGGAAGAGCTCTGGCCACGCCTCGCGCGTTCTCGATTCGACGCGAATCGAGATCGTGATACATTGTCCGATCGTGAATAGACCGTTCCACTGCTCGCCGCAGCAGCAGCAACTGGTTCTGGTCAACATTCAAGCTCGACGATGACCAAGCAAGATAATTATGTTTGCACGCCGTTTTTCGAGCGTTCAACCGCGACACTCGGAAGTCGCGAGCCGTCACTACGTATGATATAGCGCGACGTCATCGCGAATTAATCTGCAACCATCGCGCCGGTGCCACGCCACTCGAGAACTGGCATGTGGATGATTCCGAATCGTTTTTTACTCATTATTATTACAACCGTCGGTTAATCCCCTATGGCCGGCTGCTGTTCCACGTCACGCGTGGTCATCGATACGTCCGTGAAACCATTAACGGCGGATGGGTAGTTAATTTATCAGCCAGTTTCGACCAGTCGACGTATCAAAGCGTGATCGATCAGCTCGGTTTCCGATTGTTACAAGAATTTACTCAGTGCGAACATACTTATTTGAATTTTTTGCTTGTCTGATTCCTACCGTCATTTGAGTCTATGTACTCCGAATGATTAAACATACGACAAAGCAAGAGCTGAAGTTTTAAGATATAATGGAAATAAAAGATGGGAGAAATTACAGTATTTTACGAGATGATAATATGAATTTTATTATTAACTATAAAACTGAAGTAGATAATAAGTTTTCTTCTTCTCACACAATTAATTCCAAAAATATAAATACATAAAAGGACATGACAAATTGTGTTTAGGCACGGTTATCGAGTTTTCGGACATTGCAATTACCCTGAACGGATCCTTTTCCTTCCAATTACCTCTGCACAGTGGTCGCATCTCCATAACTAGCGCCAGAGAATCAGAGTTGGACGCTTCTCGTACGAACAATTGAACTATAACCAGTCCCTGGCTACCATATTTCGGTTTGAGGGAAAGGATTAAGGAAACACTTGATGTTTCATATAATCCAGCAATATTTACGATCCACCAGGTATATTGACCGGAACAGAAAATGAAAGAGTTTAACGATGGCAAACATAACGGGCGATTTATAACACTGTCCCAACGGAAATAATGGTATCCTTAAGGATTTGGTGACGAAGCAATAGTCAAACGCTCCTTCCGGTTACCTAGATTATGTATAACGGCGGGATTCGTGAAAAGTGGAAAACGAATTCGCGTGCGAACGAGATTTATTGCCGCAGGTATAGCCACGCGCTGTTTCTACGGTCGGCAATCGACTACGATAGAAACTTGGCTATATTTCTGATTTATGGTGTTTGTGGTAAGGCTCCGTGGTCGATGGATTAACCCTGTGGGAGTGGCAGGACGTACTGTTAACTCCGGACGTCTGGTAAAACTTCAAACGCACGGCCAGTAACGTTGTATTTCCATGCAGTCCAGGGGTTGGTAGATTTGCTAGTTACTGCCAAGTGACAAACACGGAGGGATCATAGGCACGAAGGCTTCCAATGCCAATTCCAAAAGTAATACAGGATTCCAGGAAGGTTAGTATTGTAAATGCAATCAACTACGGTTTAATGGGCATTGGGTACATTTACGGTACTTTTAAAACTGAAGTGCAATTATTGCACAGGTAGAGAAATAAGGAACAGTTACTGTTTATTGTTGCCAACTTTCCTTTCTTTTTTTATAGAAAATGATTTAAACATCTCTTTGCCTGTTAACTGAAATGTTCTCATAACGGCTCCCGTTAATTCGCATAATAATCCTACCAATGCAATAAAATTTGCTCAGCTCTCAGAGATATGTACCTATTAATATCAATGAAACATCGGATCATGATTCAATCGCGCAGGGATTCTATCGAATCACCCACGTACGGTTTATACGATCGGTACAATCCTGTTGCACGATGCAAAATACGTCGATTCAAACGAGCCCGGTATCGACAGTTACAGCCATACAATGGTACTTGTGGTCTTTCGTGTATTGAAACGTACATGTAGATATATTCCTTAAACGCATCGCAAATTACAATTTTTGCTAAATTATTTTAGATGTATTTACACGAGATTACATATTCTTTCCTGTTTCAAGCATTTTTCCAGTGTAATACAAAGGAAGTGAAAGGGAATGGAATGTGACAATACCATTAGTTATCGGTACGTTTCCGTGAGAATAAGATGCCTAGTATTCTTACTATATCCATGAAAGCACACATATACAGATGCTTCTTTAGTAACATAGAATATTTAATAGAATAGAAGAAAGAAATTTTTACGAACAATTAAAGAATCTTTTCTTTATTATAAAAAGTAGTCCTGTCCTGTCCTATTAGGTTGAATAATATGAATAAGAATTATGAGATAAAAGAATGCTTCATTCTTCTCTAAAGAGGACAATGCTCTCCTTAACTGACTTAAGAATTATTTAATGAATTCGTTATTAAATTACTCTGATCTCATTGAAAACGATAATACTCGAATAATCCATCTTCGTGGTCGAAGTGATTTATCTACGAACAGGAACACAATTCGATCCTTATCCTTTGCACATAGCTTCGGTAGCAATACCGGGAGTGCACTGTGTTAAAAAACAACCCGAGAAATCAGCGTAACGAAAGCTGGAACTTCCACAAGAGATGATTTCTTCAAGGGCAACGATTTCTCTCGCTGGAACGGAGACTGCGATCTCCTTTCGGAGGGGAGGCACGACCTGTCTTGTCATATTTTGGCCACGGTCTGGTGTATTTATGGCCAGAAATATGGCCAGAAACGTTAGGAGGTCCGCGAATGGACCATACGCTTGCGTTTTCACCGCAACGAAACATTTTTTTTCTGTCTCTTCTCCTACCAACTTTCAGCCTCCCCGGCTTGAAGACGTTCACAGGTATTCTCTTACAGTTCTCCAGTTTTTGTTATAATATACGACGAGACGAGGTTGCGTGAAAATCTACGAAGGTCTCTAAACCGTCGTAAACACGCTTTTTTCTCTCCTTATTCCTCCGCCACCCTGTTCCATTTTTTCTGTCCTTCATTATTCTTCGATTCTCGAAGATAGATCTCGGGCAGTAAAATTGCGTAACCTAAAGCAAGGACAAGTTGGGATCACGAAAGTGGGTCTCCGAATTGTTCCCATGGCAGTGAACAATTCGTAATAATGTGGTCGTAGCTGCCAGAGCGACCGTCGAATTCCTCGCCGGACTGCTTTACAATCGGTCGCCGTAAAATCATTTTTCGTGACCGTAAACTGGTACCGTTGTATTTAGACGAACGATCATCGGTCGTCATAGTGATAACAACAGCACACGTTTCTCTCTCATCTAGCAGAACGACTTTTTTTTCTCCATTCTCCAACAATTTTACTTCGGTTTCTAATTCTGTCCCAAGGCTCATCGAAAATATTTACACAATCCTTTCGACGCATTACGTCCAAGGGAATTCCTTTCGTCGCGACGAATCCAGAATTCTGACGTATATAGGATGAATATTCTCTGCATGATTCTAGTATAAAAAATCTAATTTTGGGATTCCAATTCGTAATACGTGTAACATGCAATTAAATTAGACACGACAAATCAATCTATTAAGTTACTCACAAATTTTTAGTATCACTTATAGACTGTATATTTAATGTTCAGCTGAAGATAAAAAATAAAATTATATTTATCAACATGAAATTAAATACCCTGTTAAGGTTGTATGAGCTGTAAGATCTCTGCCAAAAGTTTAAGACATGTAAGAGAAAGATATGTTCAATATTCGAAGCAACGAACTTTTAGAAAAAATGATAATTACAAAGGAGTAAGGTTTATAAAATTGTTCGACCTCTTTTTTTCATTCATAAGGACTTTTTAACGCATGGTTTGTAATATTCTAATACATAGTTTTGGCATTTTTTATATCTAGTAACTTAAAATTTCAGTGCTTTGTCATTGTTTTTATGTAAGAGTTCATACAACTTTAAAACGCTATTCTATTTGCTATTATTTATTACGTGGCACGAAATATATATTCCTTTGATATTTTGTATAGAGTCTCGGATTCTGTTCGTGGCGAAGAAGGTACGCGATACACCTCTCCTACCTAAGAAGAAGAAGAAGCGAAAGCAGCATCAAAGATCGGCAGATGACAAGGTAGCTGATTAGATTCGGTCGTCTCTGAAAGAGCATCGCCGATGCCCGGGACCGTCACGGGTTTCGAATCGGCATTCAACCGATTTCCGCGCACCTTGGAAACGGTGATTTCGCTACGGCAAACACCAAGTCGGTGAAGTACGCAGTAGGTCTTAAGCTCTTTCAGACCTCGGGAAAGCTGAGCCGCTAGTTACCAGATGCGATCCGCTCGTGATCCGGCCGGGTTTCCCGATTTTTCACGGTTTCCGATAGAAACTTCGCGTCTTTGTAGCGACCCGGACACATGTGATCGTTGGTTTGAAGTATCGTTCGCCGAGAATGGACGCTAGATTCGTGGATCTGCGAATGGAGGGTGGTTGCCCTTTCAAACGAAAAACCCCGTGAAAATCTACCGTTCCACTTACTTTCTGCGCTTCCGTTACGCGATTTTAAAGTTACTATAATTTATTGCCTGGGAAGGTTAATGATTTACTTTATTATATTTACTAGATGAAATTCAATTGGATGATCTATAAAGAAATATGTACTTTAAGTACGATTTATTGAGTCTCATAAAAAATAATACAATAATGCACAAGACACAATTTGTTTAGCTGACGGAAGTTTTTATTAGTCAAATTCTTTATATTCTCCAAGTGTTCGTGACTCTTTCAACTCTGAACCGATCAAATACCGTGTAAATATATAATGAGATAACGTGGACACAGCGGTCAGCGAAATTTTAATGAAATTCAAGGCTGTGGCTATTTTTAACAGGCACAACGGTCGCAGCTGCCTCTTCTTAACGAAGGGACATTGTAAAACGCAGGATAGACCGCGGCTTCGTGGGCGGAGAAGTCCGCAAAAGCCGCATCGGTCTCCGTGAAATCGACGATTCGACGCGGCGACGGATTTCTATGTGGCTTCTTTGCCCTATGGTCGCGCGACTTTACCGAACACGAGGATATGCCTTTAAGTAGTCAAAAAATAATTGCCCGGACGTACCAATCCTTCATTGATCTTCTGCATCCAGGGAAACTCGACGAAACTTTTTCAAGCCGAAAGCTCGCCGTTGCGCGTTGCCGATTTGACTCGGTCAACCTTTGACTTCCTTCTCAGAGCACCACCGCTGCTGCACATGCCGTCACGTCGTCGAAGATAATCTTCTAGTTCTCAGCAATTTTTACACGTTTGAGAACTTCATAATTGTTTCTTTTTTTATTTAATTTTCTCATAGGCCAAGAGAGATATATCTTTCATTTTATTCCACCCAGAAAAATAAAAAATAATTAACTCTGTCAATAGATTTTATTTAAAGAGGATAAATTTCCCTGTTGTAAATTATTGTACACAGCCAGTGTGTATTTTACATTCAATTTATCCTCTGCAGCAATAAAAGGAAAATTTTTAATTGAATGGAAAGCGATTGAAGTCAGTTTATATTGGAAATCGGTTAAATGTGAATCTCTATTACTTTCTACCAAACGTTTATGTAGTTATATTATGTACACATACGTGTGTTACAAGTTATTAAAAGTACTATAAATAAATCGCAATCCATGTGCAGTAAATTGATGTTTCCTCCATTGTAAATATACAGCAATAAAGATTAATAAAATAAATGAACGAAAAATGTTTTATTCTAGCCTTATCCGCTCAAGAGTAGAGCTTAGTTAACGATTTAGAAAACTTAATCATTCGCTCCTCCATACTCTACAACCTTCCCTTTTACTTGTATTAAATTAATAGAATGATCACCTTCCATTATAAACCAAGCTCCATTTTTCATATGAAATTGTTATAATAAATTTCTTTACCCTTCACATACCGGCATATTTTTTATATCTATTAAACTTTATTTTATTCATTGTCGGAATCAAATGAACTTAATACTTGATGTATTAACTCATTAGAAATTTGTGCAAATCTTAACTTTCAACTATGAGTTAAAATTTCATTTTAGAATATATTAATGTTCTACATATGGTCGTCGTATCTTTTTAAACTAAATAAGATCGTTGGTACTAAATTGAACTCTAACGGGATAAAACTATACCAATTTGCATATTAAACGAGGAACGAATTATACAATTAAAAATGAGCAGTTTGTTTCAAAGGCACTTAAAGTCTCTCGTGCAAAGGGATAAATTCGCCGTGACATTTCCGCGTCACGGTTGGGTGGGAAAAAACGAGTCGCGCCCCGGCATACTTATCGCGCCTTAACCCCGATCCCCGAACGACCCGTGAAATCGATGCATCAAGCAACGAATTTAACAGCGTTCACGAAAGTTGTTCCACGGTGTGGCGGTGAATTATTCGCAGCACGCCCCTCGATTTCATGCCGCGGCCCGTGAATATTCCCGCAGCATTTTCTCCTCGAGGAGAGAAGACTTCGTGCCTGGCCATGTCAACGGCGCGACAACGCGGCGCGAGGCGCAACGCCCGATTTCGAACCCCTGTTACAGCCCTCATAATAAAACACCCCCTCACGAGCACTAAGACGGCGGGGACAATGGGCACGGTCATTGTGTTTCCGGTACGGGAACCGTGGAAAAGTGGCGCGGCGGCTTCAATTAACTTTTCGCACACATCTCCGCCGGGAAGCGGACCAGCGGTCCGGGTACCGACTCCGCCCAACAGACTTTCGTCGATTGCTTTTGAAACCTGCGCTTGAGGATTGGTCGCTGCTGCACAATGTCAACGCTGGCCATATTCCAGGTACTGGTATCAGGCACTTTCATTAAAAGTTTCTAAAAATGTTTCCGCTTTTGCTTTTGTCTAATGAAAATCGCGACATGTTTCACTAGACTGATTGTTGGATCTTTCACGTGGGTTTCATAATCAAAGCGCATACGCATGAACGTATTCATAAGAACAAATATGATCATTTAAATTTTTGAATTAAACCAACAAGTTTTAACTGCTTCTTTACGGTACATTCGTATTCTAAAAAACTTTCACCGGATAATCTTTCCACTAAGCCGTCTTAAATATCCGTAAAATCAAAACTCATATTCTGCCATCGCAATATCGTGAGATTCCAGTTGTGAAATCGAGTTTCATTACGCGTTTTATATTCGATAAGAGCAGGGAACGTGACCGAGAAAATAATTGAATTATTACGGAACCCGGTGAGACATGAAGGTAATATTTTATGATTATCGAATCAATTCAATTACAAGGAGCCGAGGGAATTGTGAAAAGGGGAGCTGTGAAGTGCGCAACGCCTACCGAACGTTCTTAAAGGCCCGCCGACAAAGATTCGACAAAAGGTAGCTCTGCCCAGGCCCACTCCGTTCACGGAAAACCTCTTTCAAGTCACCGCCTTTTACTGCCTATCTACAGGCAAACGCACGTTCCGCTCTCTGCTCGCCAGAGGTAGATCCGTAAGTGAACATGTACCACGGAAATTTTTTGCCGAAATTCCTAAACCTGCGATACCATTAGAACATATTGATTCAAGTAATCGATGAGAAACGTTTCCAGTGTACTCAGGAAGGGGAAGAAACATCAATCTTGGTAAAAAGCGACTCCTAAGGAGAAAGTAACAATTTGTATCCTGAGACTTGACTGTCTGAATCTTTGTTATAGTAATAATTAATCCTGATGTGGAATCTAAGATAATTGCGATGAAGCTTTCGTATTGAACTTCTGGTCGTTCAAGTTTTGATAGCCTTAAATAATTGACAGGTATAATTATTGATAATGCGAGAGAATTTGTAAGAGAGTGCAAAGAAAGGATAGTTCAAAAAAATTAAGGTGTTGATAATTTATTTAGGATACTGTTAAATGGTATAGTATCTGTTATTTAAATATATTAGAAACATGCAACGAATCACTTCTACTACTTCCTCAAATCCCTAAGAGTCTAAAGACAGAGCCACAAAAGTGCAGTTACCGCTATTTCCAACAGGAAAACTGTTCTACTAATCGTTTTCATATTTTCCTAAGCGACTCGAACTCGTTTCCTGTGACAATAATCCTGCGAACGACGTGATTACAAGCCAGTCACACGTGTTTCATCTAAATTACGCGGCTGGTGGAAACGGGAGAAAGGGGACCAATTCAGAGAACGGAAACAGGCGATGTGTTGTAAGTCGCACGCGAGTCTCTTCGACACTAACACCGGTGACAAAATAATATAACGAGCAGCTCGACGCCCTTTACGAGTAATTGGCGTTCTTCTGTTCTTAATAAATAAACTAGAGAACCTGTATTGGATTTCGGTGAGGACGTCAACGAAGCCGAATACTTGTGTGTTACGTTTTTGAGAAAGGCACTCGCCGACGACGTTAACACGGACCAGCAGCGTCGGCATAGTGTCACGCCAAGCATTCGGAAGGTATCCTACCTACATCTGTTTCACATAAAAGGAGCAAAGAGCGCCGAAGTTTCCATTTAGGAAGCCTTCTGTCGTCGAAAGGGTGAATGCGCTTTAATGATATTTACGAAAACCAGCAGGCACTTCTATTTAGTCTAGCTTTTTGTCGGCAACTCAGAGAAAACTACGAATGCTTAAAAACCGACTGATCCTATGTTACATTCGGTGATAATTAAATGTGTTTGTTGTATGCTCTTGAACGAACCTGCCGACGTCAGCTACTGATGGCAATGATATGAATTAATTAGGAAATGTTGAACGTCAAAATTCTAACGAGATAGGAAATATCCGACGTACTTTTAACAAGGTATGTGTGAAGACACGTAAGAAACTGCAGATCGTTTATAAGTTTAGATCAGGTTCTTCCGTTTACTCCAGCTCATCGATTTTTAAACTTTAATAAACACTTAAAGAGTAAAGCTCTTTAGGAAACTAACTTTTGTTACAAACTTTCGAACTTTTTGTTATCTTGCAAACAAGCTAAAGGAGCAGCTAACAAAGCTCAGTCCATTATCTTGGAATTAAAAAAGAAAATTATTATACTACAAGTATAGGTAAGAATAGATCAATAATATATTATTTTAACAGAAATTGAAAACGAGAATGTAACGAATGTACCATTCGAGAGGTCTATGATATCTGATCTTCATTAAACGTTTAATTGGGTTGTGAAACGAAACTTTTTGCGCAATCACTGTAATGACCCTGCGTTGTCATCGTAATAATAGGCTCGCGTCACCTGCCTTGACAAGAAATAACATTGCGTTCCGAGTAATTACGATTATTTTCCCTCGACACTGGTGAAATTCCACGCGAAAATAATGAACGTATTAAGAAACGAGATCGCGCTAATTAATCGCACAAGAAATTGTACTGCCCGGACTTTCTACTTACCAAAAATGTTCCTCTTATCAAAGTAATTGCGTAAATGTTTTCCTTCGAATAATATTGTAAAGCTGTCGGCGTAATGCTCTTAATTTTTAATTATACAGGATAATTTAAAACATGTTAATCTTTCAATGAAAAATGAATTCAATAATTAATCTCTACTCATGTTTGATCAGCTCACTCTGTATAATAATTCTGTATAAAAAAGACGATAGAGCATCGCACAAATTCTAGAAGAAATAGAGAAGAGCTTGTTATGGACTGGCTCTGTATATTTTGTTTAATTCTAGGATTCTCTAGGATGAGTCCATTCCAAACTCGAAAATTTAAATAAAAGTTGATCGAGTTAAAAATTTAAACACGATTATTTATTTCTTAAACCTATTTCCAACAAAACAGATGAAGTAACGTGTTCTCGTGTACGGCTAGCAATACAATATTTCTCGTATTATACATTTTGGAGCAATAAATACACAAATCAATAGACATTAAATAATTACAGACGTCTATAAAAAAAAGCGAGTTAAGAGAAACTTAAATGAATTTCATACTCCTTATCTCTCACGCTGAAAATTAATGATTTAACAGTCGTAGGAGAAAAAATTCTGGCAAGTTCACTCAGCCACGAACCGACACCACATATATCTCAAACTCCAATCAATTCCATATTCGTTAGACCAATTTATCAAGTGAAAAACTCGAACAAGAAGAGGCGTCGCGACGCGAATGTAGAATGAGATACCCAATTTAAAACATGTCCATGGAACAGAGTTGGAAACGATATTCAAGTTTCCAATTCTCCCTTAATAAGAGAATTCAGTGGAAGGGTTCGTGACATTGTCTCATTATACTCGCTTCGAGTGCCTCTTCTTCCTCGGTAACGTTCTATGGCTCCGTACAAAAGAAAAGAAAAAAAACTAACGAGAAGGGAGAGAAAAGCCAAACAGGGGCAGGCTCGGTCGATGGCGTGGAC